AGATGGATTTGTGCGCTATATAAAACTACACTATTATTATTATTATTATTATTATTATTATTATTATTATTATTATTATTATTATTATTATTATTATTATTCTTTAATACTTAACAATGGATAATTGAATTTCAGTTGGAAATATCAATAATTAATAATATTATTCCTACCATTTTTTTACTCTTTAAGCCACATAAAGATGCTTGCCTTTCAATTCCTGGGTTCAAATCGTCTGTGGGCACAGGATATCTCCTTATGGTTCCAAAACATCTCGACTACTATGCCTCAGAATGAGAACTTTATAAAACATCACAATACTTGATTTTTTCAAGAGGTCCCCCTGAATAGCAGCTGTTCTTGTACAATAAGATCGAAGGGGTAACCTTTTATGAATTTGGTTTAAAATAATTAAAAAAAATACTAAATGTTTAAAATACCTGATAATTTGCTATAAATTCGTCTAATCCTGAGTAGTCTGCATTGTTTTCTGTTATCTTATGCCACGTGTTTGGCTTCACTTGTTCTGCAAAAGAGTCCAGGACTTTACTTATCAAGGAGAAAGCCACACGGTTTGGATATTCATGGTCTGCGATCAAAACACCGGCTAGACTATCATTACGTATGTACGCATGACAAAGATAATCTGTGAAAAAATATGAATCTAGATTCAAATTTTAAAACATGAAGAACAAAACTCGCAGAAAATATTCATTGGTATTTGGCTTTCAAGCAAAAGGTGTACAAAAATCTGGTCAGATCAAGGTGGGTGAGGAGACCGCCACCGGTCACTATGTAATCCGGTGCAATCTGCTTCATGGGTTGAGCCCCCGGCGACTGATCCGAGACACCCACCCTAGAGCAACTGCCCTAGTGTGAGGTGGAGGTTACTGGTCCTCCTGTCAGAATTAAAAGAACGAAATCTGGCTGATCGGGCGATAGTCTTAGGAGTTCGACCAGTTGGCGACAGGAAAAGCATCAAGCTCTAAAAACATTCACCACAATATGTGGATCGTAATGGAAAAACACCAAGGATAGGGCGTCCCCCATATACAGAAATATGTGGAGAATGGTAACCCCACTTAGAGTGGGAATAAAGCCAGAAGATGGTATTTACCTTGTTTTGTCACAGATGTTCTCACTCCAAGCTGAGTCCTTTCAACAATGATCTGGCTAGTAAAGTGCATAAATTCCTGAACACTATGTTTACAAAATAAAAACCAAGAAAAATCAATTAATTTGATTGTAACTTCAATAATCATTTATAGAAATAATAATAATAAAAATCAGCCAATAAGTGAATAGAAAGCTTATGTTATTTACAATTTTAAGATATCAAATGGAAATGTAACTACGACAAAGGCGAATGTGCCTTAGCATGCATCTGTTTTTTTTTTAATTGTATTTTGACGTTTTTATGATACTTTTTCCATCTTGGAAGTATTATGAAATAAATTGAATAATTATAAATAATCAAGAGAAAGGAGAAACATTGGTTGAGCTTTTACCTTTTCCGTTGGGAATAACAAAACGATGAAAGATCATAGGCTGCTTTCAATGTCAAAACTTTAGTTGAGCCTTTAAGCAGGATAGTTAATGAGTAGGTTTTCATTGTTAAAAACTGAACAGCAGTGTTTTTGAACTATTACTATGCACTTATTATAAAATATTAAATTCAGTGTGCAGTGGATATGCAATTGTCCCTTGAAAAATAACAATGTATCTTCTTGCACTTTCAATACAGTAATATTAGTATATCCTCAAATTTGTTAATTTAATGGTCCCTTGTGTTTGATTTCAGTCCTTTTACAGTACCTGCAATAAATTACAATTAATATATTTTAAAATTAAATAAAATTGTCATGAAACACCACGGCGGTTTTAGGCTGATATATTTACAGGGGTAAAGCTTTTTAATTTAATTTTTTTGTTATTTCTTTATTCTTTATACTGGTAAAACCTGTTCAGTAGCATATCTACTGTTCTCCCACAGGGCCCAGTACAATAGGCCCTGTGTTATATGTGGTAGCATATCTACTGTTCAACAGGGAGTATTAAAGCAGGGGCCATAGAATATTGTAGGAAGAGTGATTCATGTCGGAAGAAGCCCACTTTTGCCTTGTTTGAGGGTGGGGTCCAGAGAATGGGCAATATTTATTGACTGGGCCATTTTTAAGCTGTTGCTTTTAATTCATTAATTTGGAACATGGTACTTTAAATATGATGGAAATCATACATGGTTTATCATTAAGTCTGTAAATAATAATTAAAGAAATTAAGTTAAATAATTTTGTCCTATGTCAATTACTCGTTTTTGAAGATTTCACGCAAGTTGACTCGAATCAGTTTTATTCGCTATTTTTCGACAGTTTCCGGCAACCTTCAGCAGATACGTCACAAGAGGAATGCCATTTCTTCTCGCTGTTGTTTATGCTCCTGTTTATTTGTAGCAGGGTTGCCATTTGGCCTTTTTGACGGCCAGATAAATAGGAAATTATCAAAATTAAGATTAAAGAGTATGCAATACTTTTTAGTAAAACAGAAAATAGAATTAAAAATTGTAAAAAAGAAAACAAAAATACAAAAAGATATTAAGCAACTAAATGTTCAGCTGATGAATAATAATGTCTGTAATGATAAAATTGAAATTAAAACAAAAACTGATGAGATTGAACAAATATACGCCCATGAAGCCAGAGGAGCTCACGGACAAAATGGGTAGAGAAAGGTGAAACAAATTCAAAATACTTCCTTGGGTTTGAAAAATATAATGGTAAGAAAAAACAAATTAACAAAATTAAAAGATCCAATGGTACATTTGCTCAAACGTCGAGAGAAATTTTGACTGAGGAGGTTCAACATTTTGAGAGATTATATGCTAATCAGAACATCTAATTAAACAATATCCAAGAATATTTAGAATCAACAAAACCAAAAAAAATTATAAATTCCGAAAGGCAATCACATTAGGGCGAATTGACCCTGATTGAATGTGGAAATGTTATAGGCCTACACAGTATGAAAACAAATAAAGAACCCGGGACAGACGGTCTCACAGGTGATTTCTATCAACACGTCTGACCCAAGATAGACTTGGTATTAGTAACCAATGCTCTTAACACGTCCCTGAAGACAGGAAAATTATCTAATACACAAAGGAGAGGCGTAATAAATCTTATTTGTAAGAAAGGCGATCATGATAACTTAAACAAATGGAGGCCCATTACCCTCCTAAATGTAGATTATAAGATTGCTGCGCTAGTTTTAACAAAAAAGATTAAAACATGTTATTAAAAAAATTGTTAGTAATCACCAAAAAGGTTACATTGAAGGCCGCTTCGGTGGCGAGAATATGAGAATTATCGAGGATCTGATGGAATATATGGATACAAACCATCTGAAAGGAGCTATGATTAGCTTAGATTTTTCAAAAGCCTTTGACACTGTCAACAGAAATTTTCTTGTAAATACACTTACCTTTTTTAACTTTGGACCATCATTTATTGGTTGGATAAATCCACATAACATCCTCACAACTAGAAAGAGGTTATATTTATGGAAAATAGTTGATTCAAATTTATGCCCTGGGTGTAATGTTGTTCAGGATGATGCTCATCTATTGTTCGAGTGTAGTGAATCCAAACAACTGCGGAATTATATTACTTTATGTAAATTAAATAAGTATGACACTAAAACAACCTTTCAAAACATAATCCTCGGAACTGGGAATCTCTATATTGATCACCTTTTTTCTATTGGAATATTTTGTATATATTGGATTATTTATGTACTTCTTATTTATTTATTTTTTTGTGTGTTACTTTTTTAGTATTTAATAATTCTGTTATTATTGTTCAACGAGTTTTCATATGGTTTTTTTTTCAGGCTTGCCCAACTCAAGACTTCTCTTTTCGGGACCGAGCCTTCTTTCATTGCATGTTATCATTCTCATTTTTTTTTTATCATGATATTGTATACTGTTTTTGTAACTCATGCCAATCAAAGAAAATAAATGTTAGTATGAATGAATGAATGAATGAATACAAGCTAATATTTTAAGAAATCTGAAATTTTGGCTCTATCAATATTCTTTTTAATGCAGAACGTAACAATAGAAGATATTTAAAATAAATGCCTGGAGTATTTTGTACAAAAGAAACAGGAAAAAAGATTGATGAATAAAAGTGGGACGACCCCAAAAAAATAGAAAAAAAAAACTTATTAATTACTGATCGCTTATGAGCCTGGTGGTAAGAACCACTTCCACACTATGGTTTCGAGTAAGATAATGCGATTCGAATAATTAATAATGCAATGCTCTCTGGCAATGCTCTTCATATGCTACCCCAACGTTAAAAAATAGTATTTTTGCGAGTTTGTTCTTTGTTCACCGAGTTCGTTAATGCCCGTTTTTTTTTTTTTTTAGTTTGTTGGGCGAGATTGTCCTTGGCTGGCCTGTGGCGGTTGTGGAATGTGTATAATGAGTCTGTCTGTTGATGATCGGTAGTAATTTGTTGAACGGGAATGTCTAAATGGGAAATTGTTCTTTGCTGGCTGCAGTTTGTTGGATGGGAAAAATTAAATTTTTGAGTTGGTCTTTTATTGGTTGAGTTTGTCCTTTATTTGCTGAGTTTGTCCTTTGTTTGCTGAGATTGTCCTTTGTTTGCTGGGAGTGTCCTTTGCTTGTTGAGTTTGTCCCTTGTTTGCTGAGTTTGTCCTTTGTTTACTGAGTTTTTCCTTTGTTTGTTGAGTTTCAATTTTGACCATAATGGCCGCCCATAGACACATAATAAAAATGAATTCGTCCATTGATTGAGTATCACTGCAGCTGCCTCTGTGTGTGTGTGTTGTTTTTTTTTTTTTTTTTTTTTTTTTTTTACCACACATTGAAAATGGTTTTGGCCAGGTAGGCCTACTCAATCCTGTCCGGTCCTGTCCTCGCTGAAGGCGAAATTCGCGTTCGTTCGGTCCGTCTGGGAGTGCAGTAGTGTACTACCGACTACTGAGTTTAAATTAAGATACTGATACTCAGGCTGATACTCTACTGCTGCTGTCTCTTATACACATCTGATGTGTATAAGATTGCAGTGGTGGTTTCGCTTTTGTTGCTCAACTATACTATGTCTGTGCAATTACGTATTTTGTTTTTGTAATGTGTTATAACAAGGCCGACGTAACCGGGGTGGCCGCCTCCCCCCGGCCCCACCAACCCCTTTCCCCCACCCCACTTTGTGCCAGAAAATATATAATGTCTATGAAGATTTTTGTATGATCGGAAAGAAATGCAAGAAAAGAAAGAGTGAAGGAGAGGGAGGGGAAAGAAAGTGTTTATGCAGTCCCCGACCGAGTTCTCGCAATTCACATTGGCGGATTTGTCCCTTTCCACTTTGTGGTTTATCGATTCATGGAAAGAAGAATATGTATGCGATGTGCTTTATATACACACATAATAGGCCTACTAGTATTTACTCTAATAAGAATAAGAATTTACCTGACTATTTTCGAGAGGGGGAAAACCTTAAAATTTCAAGAATTTAGAGTCATTAAAAAGCTAATTTCCTGCCATCTTGGGATCGAAATTTTCACATTTTTCTCGGGGGTGGACCCCTGACGCATCCCTTCTTCCTCTTTGGGGTTCATCGGTTCATGGAAGGAAGAATACGTATGCGACTTTTTTTACATATATACACACACATAAAATGGCCTATTTACTGTAATAAGAGGAGAAAGTTGAAGTTAGAGTCGATAGTAACACGCAGATTGTTAATAGAGTGATGGGGAAAATTAAAATGTTGGGCTACGGTTTTGTTAGGGGCGTTATCGACTCTAACTTCAACTCCACTCATCATCGCCGCCTTTCTGAACTTTCCTGGATTATCAAGCTTAAAACTCACTCTCATGGCCTTAACAAAGATCTTTCTAGCTGACTTCACCGTTCCCCTCGAAACTGTTTATTCTGGCCCATATTCTCCCACCACTGCTATCTCTCTGTTTGTCACTGATCTGTAATAGTTTATATTGATTGTTATTTGCCATATACATTTAAGCCTATGCTGTTTAATTAGTCTTTAAGTGCTGTTTTGAGTCATTTCAGTT